CCCGCCCAGGCCTAGAGAGGAGAATGGCACCGCCCAGTCCCGGCAGCCCCACCCACACGAACTGAAGGCGTGGGGCCCCTGGAGCCGAGGCGCTAGCCCCGGGTCGCTGCGGGGGCTCGTTTGGCCTCTCGCGGCCTCCGTATTCGCCGAAAGCCGAGACCGTTGGAAAGATCAGAGATTTATGCCGTTGGGAGAAAGTTCCGGGGGTCCCACGGAGCGATTGACGTTGCAAATTTGAAGTAGATGGGAAAGAAGAGGGCAGAAGGTAGTTTAGTCCCTGACCCTGTAACCACCATGGCACTATCAGGATCAGATGCATCCACTCCTTTTGAGCCCCTTGACCAAGGGACTCATTTTTTGAAGGTTTCCTAGCCACGGATAAGAAGCCACCTCCCCTCGAAGGGCTGGGCTGGATTGCTGTGGAATCGAGGTTTCTTTAGCATCCTTGCCTGGTCAGCTTCATAAGGTTGGAGCGATTCCTCCAGTCTGAGTTCCAGTAGCCCGCGCCCCCCTCCCACATCTAACTTTTCAGCCCAACGCTTCTTACTCAGATGTTCCTCTCACAAGGAACCTGAACGACTAATCTTGTGTTCCTAAGAAGGAGAAGGCTTTAGTGGACTTTCCATGGTCACTTTGTGTAGGTCCTGTGTATTGTGAGTTATTTTAAAAGGTTTCTCTAAAGAGCTGCTATAGTGATCTTTTTTTCCTTTGGGTCTACTGAGTTAGCCTAGATCACCTGTAAAACTCTCTGAGGCTAAGAATAAGGTGGTGAACAGAGACTCTATGACTGGAACTTACATTGTAGTAAGGATAAAGAGATGATACACAAGTAAATGTAGAGCAGACCATGACAAAACTAGTGAGGAAATAATAGGGTAAGAATAGAATAACCGAGGGAGTACTATTTTGGACAGAATGGTCAGGGACAGGCCCACCCTCAGTATTTACAGGGACTGAGTCAATAGTACAAATGAAGACCCACATATCATATGTTTATATATTTCAAAACTATAAACCAAATTAAACTATTACATGAACTCCCTACCCTTTTATATTGATGTGTATACCTTCCTAATAACCTGGAAGGCTCAATTTAAAGTTAGGATTTGTAGGCTCTTCTGAGATATGTACCGGAATGTAGTAGCTTTAGGGAGAAACTGATTCCAGGCCTTCGACCATACTCCTCCCCATTGCTCCAAGCTATCTCTATTCCATACTTCCATAGGAAGTATGCAGACTTCCTGTAACATCCCTATTTGCAGAGCTTTGCTCCCAACAGCTACAAATGATCTCCCCTTGGTTCCAAAGGCCAGTGCAGGCTGTTTTCCTGATGCTGGCCTCTTGCTCTAGAGAGCAGTGAGATCTAGCATTAAGGTGCCCACGGGATTATCTAAGAAAGGATGAGGGCCAGGAGCCTTGGGTATGCACATACCATTGGCCCATAGGCCCCTTACATTGTGAAAAAGGGCATGGGTAGAAGAGGGTTGGAGAGCCCCAGTATTAGGGTTCATTTTGCCCCAATTTTAAGGCGGTTCTAATGATTCAGTATTTGAGCAAAAGACTCAGATGAATCATGGGAAGGAAACTCATGGCAGTCTGGGATAAGAGGACCCTAAGCAGAGGTCTTGTAGTCTGATTTGATTTTTTCATATATTCATATTCTCTGCCCAAAGTCTTAAACTGAATAAAGAAATTATAATACCATTGGGGTACCTCTCTAACTCCAGAAGCCAATTCTAGTTGCTGAGTACTCCTCCCTTTGATTTGGTCCCTACTGTATAGCCTCTGCTGCCCCACTTTACTCACTCCTGACAGCCGCTGGGGAGAAAGCCTGACCCAAGGTCATGAGAATGGATGGTTCTAGGGCTGCGGATTTAGCTCAGTGGTGCTGCACCCGCCTCACAAGCGCAAGGTCCTGAGTTTGATCCCTGATACCAAAAAAAAAAAAAAAACAAAAACAAAAAACAAAAGGAATGGATGGTTCTAGTAACTTTTGGGTTCTAGGGATTGGAAATATTGCAGGAGTTGGAAATACTGCAGCAGGTGAATCAGGTGCCAGTAAAATTGCCTTCAGGTGTCTCGACTGTTAAACAGTGCTATAGTTACTTTTCCCTTGGGCCAGGTCTACTGAACAGGCTGAGTGCCCAGGAAAGACATCACAGATACTAAGTACACAAAGATTTGCTTGTTCATATATCTCTTTCAGCTGCATCAGAAATGGAAAAGAAAGCCAGATGTGGTAGCGCATGCCTGTAATCCCAGCACTCGGGAGGCTGAGGCAGGAGGATTGCTGTGAGTTCGAGACCAGCCTGGGATACATAGTGAGTTCCAGGTCAGTCTCAACTCCATAGTGAGACCCTGTCTCAAAAAACCAAAACCAGCATGTAAAGGTACAAGACCCCAGTAATGAATGTAACTGTACTGTCTACCTAGAATGTACCAATAAATTAAATGTCAAAAAAAAATTAAAAAAAAAGAAATGGAAAAGAACACAGACTATGAATGGAGTAGAAAACTTTTCTAGGCAAAAGGCTCAAAGAAAATTAGGACTAATTGTAAAGTCTGAAGGTTTTCAATACTTCATCAGAATGGGGATTTAAAATTTTACAGTCTTAGAAGTCTTTATCAGTCTTGAAAGGATTAAACAGATAAGAGCAAGCTGAAGGGTGCCCTATAGGGCTTCTTGGGAACGCCAGGCCACAATTTCAAAACCATTTGTCTAGAATTAGCAGAAAGCATAAGAATCACAGCCTGTCCCGGTTACGCTTCCTGGTACTTCCTGGGGTGAAAATATGATAGAAAAGGAAATCCGCTCAGGAATGAGGTATAGAGAGGGGATGGGTTGCCAAGGAAAGCATTGAGATTGGGAGAATTTCCTGCCCAGGCCTTTTTCTTCCTTTCTATCCACAAATCAGGAAAGTAGGCCAGGTGACTCAGATGAGAGAATAACAGCATTTGTCAACTTTGCACTGCCACCCTAAGCACTACAAATGTTACTCATGTAGTCCTCTAGCCAACTCTGTGAGGTTGATATTATCCCACTGTAGAGATGAGGAGACTAAGGTAGGAAGAAGCCTGTTGACTTTCCCGTCTGTGAATAAGTCATGTGTTACACATGAGTAAAAGAGAGGGAATTTGGAAATCTGCCACCTCCAAATGAGACAGGTGGTGAGAGGAATGTGTCCTGTACACAAATACAGATAATTATGGTGAGCAACAGAGGAGTATTTGGTAAAACATGTCACCCAGTAGCAGTGCATTAGATGGCTTTCCACTTACTCATTTGCACCAAGAACCAGAGAGGATGTGTGCTGTTGCAGACAAGCACTAGCAACAGGGGACACCTGTGCTTTATTCCTTCAAAACTCACCTCTGAGTCTTCTTCCAGATGAACATTATATCAGTCCCTAATAATAACTGTACCTCAGACTGGGTAAGTTATTTTTAAAAGGGGTTTATTTTGACTGACAGTGCCAAGCTCAGGGGCACGTCCCCGTAATCCCAGCTACTTGACAGGCTGAGGAAGATTGCAAGTTTGAAGCCGGCTGGGGCAACTTAGCAAGACCCTGTCTCAAAATAGTAAGGGCTGAAGATGGTAGAGCACTTAAGTAGCATGTGTGAGACCTAGGAAAAAAGGAATATTTTGGCTTGTGGCTCTGGGGTTTTAAAATCCAGAGTCCCATCTGGTAATGACCTTGCTGGCAGAGTCCTGAGGCCATGAAAGGACTCATGGCAGGAGATAGCGAGTACACATGGAGCATGCTCTTTGGTCTTTCTCCCTGTCTTTATAAAACCACCAGGATTCAATCATGAGGACTCCACCCTAATACTTTTGTCTAATATAAATGTAAACACCATTGTCAGATTAAGTTTCCACCCTCTCAGTACTGCACAATGGGGTTAAATTTCAACACATGAAACTTTGGGGGTACATATTGAAACCATATCTAAACCGTAGAACTTTCCACCGCTAGGAGGAATACCAGCTAGAATCCTAATTTTGAAAGAAGAGAAGTAGTATCATTATGTATATGACCAGGAAGAGGAGGCATATTCAAAGGGTTCACTCAAGGAGTATAATGGAGTATTTCCAGAGGCATGTGCAGGATAAAGGGAACTACCCTAGGGCTTGGCAATAACAAGGTCCTTGAAGCTCTTCTAAAGAACGGGAGAGCACTCTGATGAAAATGAGTGAGAACTGAAGTTGAGCAAGAGGGGTGGCCACCCAACTGGAGTTGTAACCACAGAATGCTACCTCTGCCAGAAACAGGAGCAGGGAGGAAAGCAGGAAGACACTGGGAGGTATAACTTTCAGCTTTTTCTTCTCTAATCCTCTGATCTTTTGCCAGTTTTTCTATGGGGCAAGCCCAATTAGAGCCAGAGAATTAGGGTGCTCTGATAATAGTCCAAAAAAAAAAATCTAAAAAGGCAGTTTGGAGGAGGGTGGAACATGGAGAATGGAGAATACAGTCAGTAGTTCAGAGTCTCTAAACTTGGACCCTTTGAGACCTTAGAAAGAAGAATGGAAAATAGAAGCTGGGCATGATAATTCACGCGTGTAACCCCAGCACTCTAGGAGGATGAGCTCAGAGGATTCCAAGTTTGAGCCCAGCCAGGGCAACTTAGCAAGACACTTCCTTTACCCCTCAAAATTAAAAAGGGATGAGAATATAACAGCATAAAAGTCCTGGCTTCAGTCTCCAGTCTCTCAAAACAAACACAAAAGGAAAATATAGACCTTCCTGAACATCCTCCTGTGAGTTGCCTAGTTAAGAGTAAGGGCCTAAAAGTCTACTCAATCACCAGAGATAGCAAGCCAGCAGGAAAAGGCAATCAAGCAATGCCTTCAAAATTTCCTATGCTTTCCTGTTCACAGTCCAATTGCCTTCTCCTGATTGACTTTTTTTTTTGGTACTAGGGATGGAATGCAGGACCTAGTACTTATGAGGCAGGCAGGCAGCAGCCCCACTGAGCTAAATCGCCAGCTCCTCCTCCTCCTGTATCTGGAGAGGAAACCAAGGCCCAGCAAAGTGAAAGGACTTGCTCAAGGCGGAACAGCAGGGTAATGACAGAGTCCGTTTTTGTCAAGCTCTCTAACAGAGTCAATGCGGTATTAAGAAGAAGACATCTGTAAAAGGGATATTTGGACAAAGTTCATGGTGGTTTCTCTGGTCTTTGAGTGACCTGATGACAAGTCAAAGGAAACAGGTGTTCACACACAACACACACCACATACACGTGTGTGTGTGCGTGAGCGAAAGAGAG